GTTAGAAGTGGTGCAGAGAAGGGCAGTGGAGTGAGCAATAAGGGATGCTAGGCTGGTACCCAGGCTAAGGAAAAGAGAGTGCCAAGGTGAGAGGTGGCAAGTTTGGGGTAACTTCAGGGAAGATTCTTGTATACACGGACCAGCTGGACATGCAACAAAATGTTCACCAAAATGCAGCTTTGTCTGCCTTCCAGTTACCACAGCAGCAATACATTAGGGCAGCCATGTCCACATAATATTTTTTTCTTAAGCTCTTTCTTTCTTTGATTGGATTTCTAAAATACAGCTGTAGATGCTCCCAGTACCTAGCTGACAAAAATGACTTAATTTAGAGCTGTGCTAATTTAGAGCTATCATAGGCTCAGGTTATGCTTCCAGACCACCTTGCCCAGGTGCAGAAACAAGCCGGCTCCTAACCCTTCACTTTTCTGCTAGCAGCTTTGTTCTAGTTCTTACTTGGATCAATGAGGGTCTCTTGCAGTAGCGACATGTGTCTTCAGCTGGACATGGAGCAATGTGACAGCAGAGCTCCCGGAGGCACCCAGGTTGGGCAGCATCACCAGGATGCATGTAATGGATGCTCAGACCAGCGGGGCTCCCTGAACATCCAACTTTACACACCTCACGTTGTGCAACACCCTGTAGCATACTCCACACATGCTGTACAAAAAAAGGCGAGGGAGTGTGATATGCCGGAGTTTTGGAACAAGCAGAAATCTAGGGAGTTACTTAAGTGCCTGCAACAGCACTCATGACTCATTGCTTCTGCAGCCAGACATCAATCCTGATAGAGCTCCACAGAACTCATATCCTCTGCCCCAAATGCCTTGGGCTACCTGCACTCTGCCCTCTGCCTCCCATGCGGTCACAAAAGCCTTGCCACCAACTTTCCCCCAGCTTCCCGGCCCCTTCTGTGCTGCCCTGGCAAACTTTCCCATTGTAACGTCTCTCTGGAGCATCAGGGCACCCCTCGAAGGAGCCCAGTTTGGTCACCATACTTCTACCAACCACTGATGTCTTGACGTGGAGCAGCTGAGCTGTTAACTAGCTAAACTTGACTTTAGTAACCAGAAAATGTAAAATGCCAACTCTAAGGAAGGAGCATTGCCTTGGTAGCATAAACATCCATGACAGTAAGAGTTGGGTTACACTATATTTTATCCTGACTGGTACTTAGAGAAGTCTGCCGGTGGGTAACAGTGGATACACAACACTAGAGCCCATGGTCATACACAACATCTTTCTGAACATACATAATGCAGTTTGTCACATAACGCCTTTCTTCAGTCCAGATATTTGTTTCTCATATTGCTCACCTACATGCAATTAAGAGCGCTGAGAAAAATGCTCTGGGCAAGCAACGAACAAACAGGTGGGCTGATTTTCAAACGGATCTACCCACCTGCCAAAACCTGCGTTTGGCTGCTGAAAAGGACCACGGCAGCTCTGCGAAGGTGCTGCAGCTTGTTTGCCAGGTTTGTTTTTAAGAGGCAGCCAATGCCAGTCCCTGTGGTTCAAAAACCGTTCACAACAGTGACATGCGAGCCAGCAGCCACTCGAGGTGCTCCTCAGCAGCCAGCCCCGGGGGAATTCGAGCCAAACAACAGCCCGCATTCACTCGCCTGCACTATTGATCAACTCGGCTACTTCAATAAATTAAGCCCTTTCTTAATTGTATCGTCCCTTTTTATGCGCAGTGTTATCCAGGGCAGTTTCACTGGCAAACAACGAGATCTTTCAATACCACCCTCCAAGTAATTTATATGTAAATAATAAAAAGCGGGTCCCAACACTGCTCCCTGCAGCACTCACCAATTAATCTCCTTTTAGCTTTTTACTGCCACCCTTTGTTTCCTGCCCTTTAGCCAATTTCCAGTAGACTGTGCCAACTTTCCACTTAGTCTGTAGCTTCATATCTTTTATATTAATAACCTGTGATGCAGAACGGTTTCTCAAACGTTTTCTGAGAAATCAAAGTGCTCATGCAAGACCATCTACTGCATTTATTATTATTTTTTTAATTCTTTGGTAGACATAACCCTGAAGGACTTCAAGCCACTGAAGTGTGATGTTTGCTTCTTGAAACCACCTTGAATCCCTTTGATCATACTGTACTTCTCTAAGTAAGTATTTGCCTTGCTTGTTCCTTTCAACGGTGTAATTCCTGTAGATTTCTCTGTAAGGCAGATGTGAATCTAAAACTGTCTCCTTTGACATATTTGTGGAGTTGTCAGAAAGATTTTACTAACATACTGGAACAAGAAAAATTCTCCCTTATTAGCTTATCATTTGCCGTGGTGGCCGGCTTCAGGCCCATTACTGGCAAGGGCCAAACGCTGCTGTCAGAGTCACACCTCTCCCCACCAAATGGCCAAGCTGTCATCCAAAAAATTTGAGGATGAAATTCTGCTTTTCAGCTGCAACAAGGCGGCTCTTGCTGAGCTTTAAAAAAGCAGTTTCTTTCAAATGAACTGTTCCATTATGAAAAATAAATATTTAATCCCATGCCAGAGAGCCTCAGCCATGGCTTGCCTGCTTTGTGCTACTCCAGTTCATTATAAAAGGCTCAATTCTCTAGAGCACACCAACCTGCAGAAGTCCTCCAAATCTGGTCTCGTAACAGCTGAGCCACTGAATCCTGATTACATTTGTCAGTCTTGGCTACATGACTTCTCCTCCCATAGCCTGGCACTCTATCAAAGTATCATTTCACACTACCCTCAAATTACTTTTATATGCCTATTTCTGGATGTAGTCTCAAGGATGCTTGCCTTTCCTTCAGTTAAATTTTGGTGGACATGGCATACCAGAGCTTTGTCACGCTGGAAATAAAATGTTCTGAAAACTCATCACGTTGCCCCCAACTTGGGAAAGGATGCTGTAACTGCGGCCCAGAAAGAGAAGCCAGAGGACTTGGATCCTCCCTCTGTCACGACTCACTGTACGCCTTAATTTCCTGTGCCTCCCCTTTTCCAGGTCTGGAAACCAGACATTGTGCTTCCCTACCTCTATATAAACAATTTGAAATCCAATGCTGCACAAAGGCCAAATATGACTGCTGCTTGACGCCATTGCCTTTACTTCCAAGTGCCAAGCTTCCCAGATGGCAGCATAAAGGCATTGCTTCTTAATGCTGGTTTCTGTGCAAGGTGCACTGTCCACGTATGGACAAAAAAGTCAGGAAAAACCACCAAATACATGAGGAGATAAAGCACTGGGACTATCTCTGGTAAGAGAAGGAAGAGATGATTAAGAGAAGGAGGTGCAATGGAAAGCAAGTTGGAGCATATGTTACTTCCTAATAAAATTCAGGTCTTTTTTTGCCAGTATGTCTAAATTGAGGTTGCTGGTGCTCTGTCTTTCCTCCTCCTGCCCTCATACATTTCTGCTGAATTTAGCTGTGAAGGGAATGTGGAAACAAAGCCAATTTTGCTTCCCTTTTGCAAAGCAGTTAAGAGATCCTGAAACGTGGATAGCATATGAACTGGATGCCATATTCCAGAATTTGAACACGTACAAACACACTCCACACAAAACAGAAAAGCCCATGAGAAGCTTTGGTTTATACACACAGACAAATACTGCAGCAGCAATTGGCAGAGATGATACTGCTGAGATACCGTGCTGAGGCCATTACATACCCCAGAAACACTGGGTCTCAGCATGCCAGAAAGGAAAATAAATAGGTAGAATTGCATCATTTCACTGGCACTAAACAAATCCATCAGAGTGATGAGGGCAGAGCTGCTGCCTGCCTGGCTGGCTAAGGAGAACAGGAGCAGGTCCCAAGTGAGAGATACCACACATTCAAAGGGGGGAGAGGGAAGGTACTGGATTGACAGCAAGGAAACATGAAGAAGGGGCTGTCTCTAGATCTACACCTTTTCTTCAGGGCCAGATTATCTTTTTTTAATTTTTATTTTTAAATTCTCAAAGATGTTCTAAGTAAGGTTAATTTAATAATTCAGTTCCTTCCTAGCAGTATTATGTCATTTGTGTATTTTCATTTTCTCATACTGCTATAGCAAGCAATAAATTCAAGGTCAGTTACTGGGTATGGTCAAAACTCCAGCAAGCCAGTTGACAGGGGACAGCTCTCAGCATTTGGGCCATGGAAGCAAAGCCTCATCTTTTTGTGCTGTCATCAGATGGTTTGCCCTTACTTAATACTTTATGAAAAATATGCGTTATCTGTTCCTTGACATAGGAACAGGAATGCAGTTATAGAGGGGAAAAAAAAAGCGAGGTTTGCATGTTTCTTGTTAACAAATATATTCAAATCCCTTTGGAAGGCTTGATATCCTTCACTGCAAGGTCTCTGGTGGTCAAAAACCAGAATTGTTTGTGGCGAAGCAAGTCAAAATGATGGAGGCATTTAAAACTACCTCTAAAACAAATGCTGCATAATCTCCTCGTTATGCCACCATTTGGGAGGGCATAGTGCCATTTCTGTCATTATTTGGTGTTTGCACAAAACTCTCATCAAGAATTAAGAACTAGAGGTGAAGGGGTAGAGAGATGGAAGCATAAAGCACTCTTCCAATCGCTCTTGGCATTTTCCTGCTTAAGAGTTGATCTGGTATCCTCTGTGTAACGCAGGATACTACACTACCATGGAAGACATCCAGTGCTCCCTTTTGGAGAACACACATTTACATCAGCTTCTGTGAAGGCAGCATGATCCAGGTCTCAAAGGGAGGTGGAGCACATGAGGGTGGGGAGTGATGGGTGTCTGTCACACTGAATGACAAAGCTATGGGATAATCATAGACCAGGGAGTGAGAAGGCACCAATGCTCTGCCAGGGATGTGGAGCAAACAGAGCCACTTACAACGGTCCCACTATGTGGATGCTACTAAAACGTTGCACCTTTGGAAAGGACAGCAGGTTATCTGGATTGGATCACAATCAGAATGGACAATTTGGGAAGAAAAAAGAAGCAAACTAAGTATGTTCGTTTCTCTCCCACAAATCAGATAACTGAACCTTGGCTGTTTTACCTCGGGAGATGAGGACAGGAAAGGTTTGATGTATATATTGGAGTCGTGCACTTTCAGGTCATGGTCTCCCAGTCCTCGGGTCACTCCAATTGTTGCCATAACCCGAGCCTGGAAATGAAGAAAGGCAATGGGATCAAATCTTGTTACATGCACTGTGTCAGTAGGGAAATTTGAAAGAGATAACATGGCTACTCCCTAACTGCTACAGTTAGGCATAAATTCTCTTTTCTCTCCCAGAAACTCTAGATTTAACACAGCTGATCAACTTCAAAGCTTTTCACACTCATGTCATCTCCATTTCCCTCATTATTCCAAGCTTTGTATTCATCCATATTCCAGTCTGCGTACACCCACTGTGCCTATCTGTAAGGGACTGGGACTATGAAAATCTCACCCAGTTGTCTCGCTGTCCCACATCAGTCTATGAGAGCATTCCTTCAGCAAATTATACTGTTAGTAAACCAGTTTACTCACCTAAGAAACCTAAGAAACCTGCGGCCTCTTCCAATTGACATATTCCATATATTCCCTCCACCAAGAAAAGTGCCAAAGACCACCTTAAACTGCTGAACACACAGGTGACAGTGGCACCGACTACAGTGTTCTCCTCCGTGGACAGACAGTCTAGGGCAGGTCTGCTGTTTCCTCAGGTCTACCACTTCCTTCCCCAGGCGCCTTCCTCTGTGACATGAGCTGTCTCCCAAGAGGTGCTGAGCTCTTCTTCATTAATGTTTCTCCAAAGACTGACCAGGCAGACAGCCTCGCGAGGAACCTTGCTCTCTGCTGTCTGCATATTGCTCCCCCCAAACTCTAGTTTAGCCGCAGCAGCTTCTGAACAAGAGAGCTCACAGCATCAATAACAGCGAGCAACCGACTCAAAATTATTTTGCCTCGCTAACCCCTGGCTCCATAAGGCAATAAGAAAGTAAATTAAAAAGATGTGCATGAAACATTTTGCAAATAATTATAAACCTAACCAAATTCAGAGATAAGCTGCAGGTCTGAGCCTTCAAAACTTGGACTAATTTTGAAAAGCGTGTATTTTTGCATTGAGATAAGAACCTAATGCAGCAGGGGAGCAATATTTAGAAGCATAGCGAGCATACCAATATCAGCAAACTGACACCACTGCGTCCTTATATTGATCCTATTGCTGCATTCAGCTAAGCTTGCTGGGATCAGCACTAATGATCTTGCTGTTCTTAATCACAGAGCTGGAAACAAAGTACACCCAAATGGAATGGTTCGTTTCTCCCTTTCAACAAAAACTATCAGCATTCACACATCAAAAAGATTCAACAGTGAGTTCACATACACTAGCTGAAGAAGATACAGTTAAGGGGTGTTATACTTCCCAAATCTTGCCCTGATCCCTCCCCTTCCTAAATTGGCGTTTTGCGTCTCAGAGCACTCTAAAATGTTATTAATATCCTCCTGCTTTGTTTTCAGCAAACGTGAGGTATTTTGCTATCTTCATCCAGCATAGTTATATTTCACAATGAAATCAGGAACATTTAAAGTCAATTATTTAAGACGGTCTCATTGTAGCCTACTTACAATGAAGGAAAAACAAAAGCAAACTGAACAGCAAATGACTATATGTGCTATAAAAGTGCTTTTTAGTATGTTGAGCTCCCCCACCCACCCCCCAGACATAAGACTGATTTTTGACAGAACCAAGATATTCTTTCAAGCTGTCAAAACGATAAAATAAAGAGATACTGAGTGGAAAACATTGGACTGCCACAGGCTAAAGCGAGTGGTAAACAGCACAGACTTCCTTCTTCCTTTGGTCTGAGGAAAGCAAACATGCCCACCTTCTTGCCTTCTCCATATATAAGGGGAAACTTCAAGTCATCTTCCTCAATGGTTTTGTATGCCCTGTGAGGGGAGGACAAACAACATTTATAAAGCTTGCAGTCCATTAGTGACCCAGTGCCCTGAAACAAGCAGCTGTGATTTAAGACGAAAAAAAACCCAAAAAAACAAAAAAACACAAAATGCAACACTGTTTTTCCTAGGCACTGTCTTTGAACCAAGATGTATGTTTCTTTTTCTGTGGAAGGATTTTCCCTAAAGAATTATCCATTTCACCAAAAGGAAAAGTGAACATGAGGAAATATCTAACATGCCAAGCTGCTCCTATTGCTTGCGAGTTAAAAAGAGGTGGACTGGAATAACATCCTGATCGGGTATGATATCCTTGGCTATGGCAGCAGCTATACCATAATAAAGTGTCATAAAAAACCCCCAACCAAACAAAAAAACACCCCAAACCCCCCAAGAAGCTAACCAATGACTAGATTCACACTGTTAACGTGAAATGGTGAGCAACGACAGGATGTGTACACAGTCAAAGTGTGAAACAGCTCTCCGATCCTGTTCTCACCTTTCAGGACTGCTTAAACCAAGACAAGCTTCACGTGCTGAAGAGTCGTAGAAGGATATTTAGTGCTCATTTGACCTTGACTGCAACAGTCAAGGTTGTCAGAGATTTCGCATTTCACAGCAGTTTTCCCATAGTCGAGACAAGAGAAGTAAACGCTCATGCTCTGATTCTCTTTACCGCATGCCTGCATACTCTACCTTTTACACACCCAGCTGCTGACACTGATGAGGTGAGAAGGTGAGCAATTTTGCCAGTAAGAAATAAAAAAAAAAAAAAGATAAATAGACAGCTGTCATTCTTATAAGCTGTAGAGTCCTGTGGCTCGTATAACACACGATCGGGCCGAAGTGCTGGGGAGCCTCTTTGGCTAAAGTACGTCACCCCAGAGGGACACGCTTCCCTTCACACCACAAAAATTGTCCCTCCCCAGCCTTCCCCTGCATGTTGTCCTTCCCTCCCAGCTCACCCCTGCCCTCAGCCCTCAGGGTGACACCAAAAACATCCTCTAAGAGCGCAAGTCAGCACTCCCCGCCAAAACAGAAGGGAGAAGTGGGAGGAGGGAAGGTGCCGCAGCAGGTCCCTGCCAGCCCCTGCTGCATGCCCCTCCAGCCGGGCTGGCTGCTTGAGCTCCGGGGACTCGCATTCGATCAGGTTTAAGCAATGTTCAGGCTGTGACATAAATAAGCAGGAAATTAAAAATTAAGGGTGAAATCCTATATTGTAATTGAACTGCCCCCTGCTTCACCAAAATATGGCACAGATCTGGGATCAATAAATGGTGCTGTATTACATGGCTATACAAGCTGCATCACCTAGGCAAGCCTCAGGCTTAAAGAGAGTAGCATAGATGTTTAAGCCCCACATTTACATTTCCCAGTAATGACAGGTATGGTTGTCTAAGACCGCCGTGAGACTTGGCCTGTCTTGTCCCAAACAACTCAAGCAGGAAACGTTGCAAGAGGAGAACCAGAAGAGAGATGGATAGAGCCTGGTGGAAGCAGACCAGTGAGCTGCTTCTCTTCACTCCCTCTCGTGATTGTGAAAGCATCAGTCTGGCCATGCGTTGATTGACAGGTGTTTGCTGAAGGGGTGCATGTGCTGTCACCCCCCCCCCCCCCCGAACCTTCTAGAACACCCAGCTGCGCAGATGTGAACTTGGACCAACTAAACTATATAAGGGTGAGCGCACGTTTACCTTTGTGGACCCACCACCTACAGATCAAGACTCCAACTCGAGACAACAACGCTGGATCGAAAGGGTGGTGAAACTTTTTCATTTTACTATCTCTTTTTCTCCCTCTTTTTCTCTCTCTTTTCTCTCTTACCTTTCTTCTACTCATTTTTTCCTTGATAGATGTCACCTAGTTTTGCCTTAAAGTAGTTGATAAGGAAACAACATCTGCACCATAGCACCTTTATCCGCCATGGGTTTTTGTGATTGTTGTTAAGACAACCAACAAAATGTTCCTCTGAGTCACTGTCGTGTGCTTGCAGCCCAGAAAGCCAACGGTGCCCTGGGCTGCATCAAAAGAAGTGTGACCAGCAGGT